GCTGTTACTGCGGTAGTAAGCGCATAGCTATCACGTTGAGCGAGAATTAATTACTCGCAACGTGTTTACACATACTGACATGTAGACATGTGCGGCTGGCATGCGGTGGAAATCGTAGCGGGAGGAAAGTTCGAGAAAAATCACGGTATAAATTACCGGTAAAAGTGGGTGAAAATCTCTTTGAATACTTGTATATATCTTTTTTGTTAATTAACGTTACTGAAAATAAATAATATTATACTATTTTGAGGTATGTGTGTGTATTGCTTTATAAAGACTTGTTTTAAAAATATTTATGCAAAATTTTATGGTAAACCTGACTTCATTAATCTTTTTACTCAGCTCCAAGCTTTTCAGCGTGCATTTTTCCTTTGCTTTTAATTTCCATAAAGGAGAAGCATGTTTTTGTCTTTTAGGAATTCAACATACCAGTACCAGACCATCATAAGAACTAGGAGACAATGCGACGAGTCCCACTCGTTAAAAGTTCTTTGCTCAACCTAAATTCTATTCTGTGTATGTGTTTGTGATAAAAAGTACTAGGAGAACATGAAGCGACGTGGTTCTGCGATAAAAACCGTTCTATTCGGAGTTCTCGACCCGTAAATCGTTGCGAGCGTCCCCCTTTTCTTCTAATACGCGGTTGGTTTGCGATTCCGTGTTATTGTACCGTTCAGAATGTTTGTATGAATGGGATAAAAATTGCAGTGTTGAGTTCGTGTAAAAATATATTTTTAGTTACCTGGAAAATGGGAAAGAATGAATGCTGTTTGTGCTCGGAGATGTTTTATATTAATGTGTTTACAATTGTTTAGCAATTCGTTAGTTTCACTTTGTGAGTGCTATTTTTCCTAACTGGGTATTGTTAGATTCTATGGTGAACCTGTATTTTATTTCAATAGTAAAATAAACACTTGCTTTATTTCACTGATTTTATAAACTATATAGGTACCTACTACTAAATGTATCATGTGTCAAACCCATATAAATTGGAGTAGTAAATAAAACATCAGAAAATTCATTAAATACATTTATTTATCGCCATTAAGAACGTGACACCCAATGACAATATTAATATGTTACATATATCCATATAATGCAATATTAAACTAACAAACAAATGTATCACAGAATATTTTGATAGTGTTCAAAATTGACCAATATTTATACAACATGGACGATCACTAAGGAAATGAAATTACAGTCACGTAGAAATTATATTACAATACAAATTTAATTACAGTGGGAGACTTATGAAACTTAGGTGCAACTTAGTCATTAAGTTACCGTACAAGTCCCAAAGATGTCACAATAAAGTCTTGCCAAGAAGATGCAAATCATTTTGTGGTCCTTCTGTACCTATTTGCCACTTCCAGACAAGGCTAAAGCCAGTAGTACACAAAATCACGTAGGATTTCAGCATTACCTCAAAATATTATTCCACTATTTCACATAATATTCCACGTAACGCTAAATCCTAGATGAGTTTCCATAAACAGGCTCGAGAATAACTACGCATAATCTTTTTAATAACATTTCGCAGTAAACCACGATTAAACGGGACGTTTTAACTAAAAACACATGAATATCATGTCAAAGAAATTCACATAGTAAAAACAATGTCAATATTTCTTTTATAGAAGCGACCACTATCAAAGTTTGTGAAAATGTTGCTACATCAAAAATACAGTCGGAAAAGATAACATATTAAACCTAATTAAAATTTTCTTTGAGCTCGAATAAAGATACAACATTTTACGTAATTAAAACCTAGTATAATGAGCTTAATATTATTTAATAACGAACACACACACTGGAACGATCTCCCAATTACTTAAAAATAAATGTAAAAAAAACGAATCGTCATAGATTTTTATAGATTTATTAAATTTAGACATTTTAACTACCTAGCTGTCTTTAATTTTATATACAATTTACACAATAATAACTTTAATATTTATAGTTGGCACGACGAGTGACAGAAGAGCTCTTTATGTGAAAATGTTTGACACAGCTGAGAAATTGTTTCTCCTTTACATTCCTTTGAATCGTGATTTTATAAGAAAACTAAGACAATGAACTAAAATTGCTAGATTTTACGCTTTAGTTTTGTGTTACAACAGTGCAAGAAGATTTTACGATGAAACTTTATATGTTTATGTAACAAAGAAAGTCGAAACAAGATAACGAGCTCTGGTCAAGTTTACATTGTAGTTTGTTATTCCAGAAATATTTTTGTCAACTAATAAATTCTTGATCATACCCACCCAACCAACACAAGAATGAAGTTCTAACTCAGTTTTATTCAATGCTATACCAAACAACTTTACAAAAGAATTCTGTATTGTCAATGATAGAAATCTCATCATGAAAATGGTAATCATTAAGTCGATCCAAATTGTCCATTTCACTATGTGCCTTTAACCGAATGACTATCCATTCCTTCATAAAAGAAATCATCAACTTCAAGACGTTTTATGACTACCATTGGACCTACCAAGTACCATTAACCGCTAAGACTCCAATAAGCCTATATGTAACATTTACCTCACTATATTTCAAACTATTCAACATGTTACAAGTAGAAAGCATGTCAAGTGTCACATCTAGTAGACAATGTGTCAACAATCTGGACCGTCATTTGCTACCATTGTACTTATTATCGACTTTCCTGACCTTGTTACCATCGAACGTGAGAATTTGGCTTCGAAGATAGAAATCAAATTTATGCCCTCATTAGCACCCTTATGTAAGGTCAAAGGAAAAACTGGAATGGAAGATCTAGATTAGAGTATTTTTGAAGACTGGATTTCAGTTGCTGGTAAATCTCAGGACCTGTAATAGTCCAAAATCTGGGTTTATCATAAAGGACCTGGATTTGTCGCTTTCACGACTCGTAGGACCAATAAGGCAATGTGGCAAAATTAGATACGATAAAAATATTTCTTCTCTTTCATATTTTTTCTGAAACCTGGAAACTAAGATATTAGAGGTACGATGAGACCAAAAAGTAATTCCTGGAAAGAAGATTTTTCCACGAATATCACAACCGAAAATCATTTTCTCCACGTATCTTTCCGAGAACTTCTTTATCAATCAATCCTAAATAAATATTTTCCTATATTTTCTATATGAAATATAGTAATAGTAAAGTAACATGGTGTCTGAAGTTAAATGTAAGTTTGTTACGATTCAATACGTGGCTGATTCCGTAGTACTAGGGTTGCAGGAAATGTTAGTATGTAACACGTTGTGACGTCACGCGCCACTGTTCCGCGCCCCGTCAGTCGTTTTTAAATCACATTACGCACGGAATTGTTCGGTTTCATGAATTTTGATTATGTTACTACACTTTTCTCTGAAATCTACATTCCTGCAGCTGTGCAGTATAAAATATTGAAATTACATTTCCAACATTATCAAAGTCATTATTGTTATTTTGGTTTCAGAGGAAAGGGAATGTTTAATTTATTAAATTACTTATTTCACAAAATAAACTTTGCCAGAGTCTGGGAAAACTGAAAACATGATTAAATAATGAAGGTTTTATTTACACTTTTACAAAATTATTCAGCTGTGAAAAACATTTTATATCAACGATAAGAATTTAAGTGATTCGCTATTAAAAATACCTAGAATTTGGCACAAATTAAAAACAATAGTTACTATTTACATGAGACGAATTTTAGGAACGTCAGGATATTGAAAATATACAAAAGACGAAAATATTCTGCAATAAACTGCTCTCCTGATAAATGGGTTGGTGATTGCGGAAGGGTACGTACACGCACTTACAAAATACGAACTTTATTCCATCGCTTCGGTTATAAACAAATTTGATAAATTATTATTACCTTCAAAATCTAAAAACATTATTATTATTGTTGACATTTAAATGTCAGGAAGGCAGTGAAATCAATTTCATTTATTTTCGTACCCAAGAATTAGGAAAATTATTGATTGAAACAAATTGTTATCAATGAGAAAAAATAGGACTAGGATTTAAGATTAAGATAATAACTGCACAAGAATAACAATAAAAATAGGTACTAGGGCATTATGAAAATACAAAAAAATAATAAATTCGTTGCATAAAACTAAACAACGTACAAATAATTTGATTTAACATTTTTCTAACAACAATTTGACGTTGTCATGTTGACAGTTGGACAAGATGGCAGCGGTGAGAACATCAAAGCAGATTTTAATTAAAACTAAGTATATATATAAATTAGAAGATAAGTTTTACTTGACAATTTCATATTAACTCGTCGAGTACCGGTTTTGCAGACACAATTATAGAACAATAGGTTGCGGTCACCGGTGACCGCTTGGTATTTGACAGTTTAAATAAATGAATTATCAAGATTGGAGTACTATTATGTAGCTCGTCTTTGAAAAGATTCAAGCAACACATAAGTAGACAATAGCCGTGGTATCTCCTCGCATCGAATGTTTCCTCCGATGTTTTCCATTCTATTGTTTCCGTGCATTTTGTTATTGGCCCAACTGTTTGCTTTCAATACTAACCCAGAACTACTTGAAATTACTTGTCGTAGATACTTTAGATTTGAATCTAGTCCTTACAAAAGGCTTCTTATAATTAACTGGCTTTTACTACTACAAAATCCCCTGTGGCAAATATCTTACACAATTTTCCAGTTACTTGTTCCAAAACTTATATTTTCACAGATGTCTGGAGTAAGGTGACTTAAAAACCTATTACAGTAACTTAACGTGCGAACTTAACGCTAAAGTTGAACGTAGGTTTAACGCTAAACTGTCAACACAACTCGTCCCGGCCTTATTCTGTACATTACATTAACTTAATCTTATTCGCATCAGCTTCTCTCCAACATATGTAAATATTACAAATTTTTATTTTTTTTCTCGTGACATAAAACATCGAAATTCAGTGCTTGCTATTTATAGAATAATTGATTTTATAATATTATTTTATTTTATACGACATTTTTTATTACAATTATCACTGATTACGTAGCTGTATTTTATTTTTATCAAATAAATGGCCTTTGAAAACAATATTCAGCATTCGTTAAAAATAAAATGCAATTTAGAATAATATACTTCCACCCTATCTACAAAATTACTGAGCATTATTTTCACATTAACACCTATCTAAACCACATTTCCACGCGATGCCTTACAGGAAAACAAACTTCTAACTTCCAATCTCTGCCGTTTACTTGGAAACTTCCATATGGACCCCCATGAAAAGTCATATCACATCAAATATGAACGTGATAACAGACAACAGCGCGTTATTGCGAGTAAAACAGTAGGCAGGCACGGTCAAAGAGCTCTAAAAGCTTATTGGGCCTGACAATGGATTGAGCCTCGAATTCCCAGCGCCATTTCAAAGAATGTAACAGACAACAGACGCACGCGGGTCGCGGACACAGCAAATTCATTCAAATGTAATACATGTTTACTTCTTTCTGCTTTCTATTCTCCTTGTACTTTGTAATGTATTCTGATATTCTTGTATAGTTATTTTACGCGCTCTTTGTTTATTTCATTCAAAATGTGCATGTAATTCAAAGTAAAATTCCCACATTACCAATGAACATTTGGGATTTAATGTGGAATTTAATAATGCGCAATTTATTTATCTCAATGTTTCACTGAAAGCAAATATTTTGAATAGTTTGTTTAAATAACTCGTTGCGTACTCCATTCCATAACAATTATGTTTTTGTTTATTTATTTTTTTCAATTCAAATGTTTTAACAAAACCTAGATCTGATAAATTCACAAACGTTAATTTTGTGGGATCTTTTTGAGCACTATTTTTGTATCTCACTTTAGGTTGATACTCAATTAAGAGTAAAAATCTAGGATAAGTTTATTTATTACAACAACAAACTTGAACTTAAAATACATAGAATTCCTTAGGAAGGATAAAATAACATTATTTTATATTATCACATCCACTTTGTAACTTTATCATACGCCACTAAAATACAGCTACGTAATATTTGCAATGTTTACACGCCAAAACAGACTAACATTTGATTGTACAATGTACCAGGATTTCATAAATATTGAACGGAGAACAGAAATAAAAGATCACTGAATGTTGCTACGATTGTTCGTGTTATGTATTTACGAAGATACAATTGATACGGGGACTCTTTGATGCTGTCTGGCATAGTCACATACATGTATAGTCATATATATGTATTCATTCATAAACATGCATACATATTTATAATACGTCATTTTATTGATACTTTGTTTGTGAGTGAAACGCTATGATATTGAACGGATATGTTAAAAAATAAAGCGCACAATTTCACGGTAGCTTATTTTATCATACAGATGGGAGACGCTTTATTTTACCGTAAATTCATTGAACTATTATTATCTATAAAGCAAAATTTATTTTTTGTTGATTTTTCTTTGCAAATGATGCTATTATGGTAGTCTTAACATTTCTTCAGTTCCGCATCTAATAGCTGCTTTTAGTTTACTTCTCGTGTTTGTGGAGTGGTACCAGGCAAGCAGCGGAACTTAGGAGAGTGATGTTGGAAAACGTCAAAATGAGAATGTTGAGTAGTAGAGTAGCTGAACGTTTTGCCAACTGTTGCTGAAACTAATCTACATTTTTTACTTCCGAGCTTCGTTTCTACCCACGGCATCTTCTGAATTACTTCCCTGGCTTAAAATGTAGATTTTTAAGTTTGTACGTCTAAATGAACTGTTTTAAATTGAAGAAGTTGTTCAGTTTTAGCACGCTTCCTCATTCATTTCCCAGTATCGGAAAGTTACCGTACGTCTCTAAATTCAAAGGAATGGCCCATTTAAGTTCATCGGCAAGTTTTCTTCTAAAATTCCAGGAACCTTATCAATTGATACCTTGCTCTTTTACAGGCAGACATTTTTTCCTCTTTAGAAAAACTTCGTATTAACATATCGAACTGGCTTCTCAAGTCCCCTGGTAGTGTTGTCGTGTAAACATTGCAGTGATTGAATGGATATCTAACTATACTAAACGCTCGATACTTAAGCTGACACCTACAGCATCGATTAGACTTCACTCAAGGCACTGTATTTAGAAAATATATGTACTGAGATGCACAACGTGAGAATCAGTACTGTTGCTTCCAACATGGTCGAGCTTGAACCTGTGGACAATGAAATGTTGGTTAGATTTTATATCTTTAACAACACACATCTCAGTCAGTTAAAAAGACATTAATATAGTGTAACATTACATTAGGGTTATAACATTAGGTACTAACATCTTCCACTATTCAGTGAAATAGTCATTACGTCCTACGAACTTGTATCACAAACCCATCAACTGTATCATTTGTTCGCCCAATGAGCCATACACATTCAGGCAATTAACTTTTCTTTGATAACGGAGAAAACCACTCGACCAATAACAGATTTGTTATCGAGTATTGAAACGAAGTTATTCGAGAATCATGTGCGTCCATGTTCAGCCATAATTGCCGTTATACCATTGATCGTCCATCTGAGCAAGAAATTGCACATGCCTCGATGAAGCTCTTTGAAATACCAAATATCTGAATCAAAAATTGTACTATAATATTCCAATATATGAAGCGAGTAGTGCCCGCCTCAACGTCGTTTTTTATATTTATAAATCAAATTGCTCGTGTACGCATAAAAGGCTGTAAATATGAAAGTTGGCCTTTTTATGATATTTCTCTATTTTTTATTGTAAAAAACATGGTTCGTAGACAAAAATATTTTTATAATATACATCAAACGACGTGTTTGTTTATTACTATATTGTGGCTTATATGTATGTGTACCACCAAATTAAAAAGCACACAAAATATATTGTATACGATAAACATACGAACTTTACTAGACTATTCCGCAAGTTCCTGAATAGTTGAGAATCTTCACTTAAACTCAGCCAGACTCGAAAACTTATCGCTAGACCCTTTGCGAAATTAGACAAATAACCCTTAAGAAAATTAAGTGGTTTTCACCAGAATCGTGGAACGGAATGCAAGTCATCTCTGCCATGTCTTAATTACGTCTACCAGGGTAGCATAGTATGTTAATTAGTAGTTTGATGGAAACAAGCTGTCGCAGTTACAGTAGGTGAAGTTACATGTGCTGCAAAGATGAGATCTAATTACAAAGTTAAAGCATCTTCTATCATACATTTTATACAGTCGAGTTGGTCGCACGGTCTGAGACACGTTGCATCATAGCGTCCGTCGGTGATAGACGAAGTTTGTCGTTCATATTTTTTTATCTTTTTGCAGCCATTTCCAGAATGGTGTACGAGTGTAATATGAAAATACCAGGCGAGCATAATTCTGAAGGAACTCGGTAACAAACTGTGCCCGAGTTTTTTCAAAGTACGTGCCACGAAAACACGATTTCATAAAAATATTTTTCTACATACCTACCATGTAAAGAAATCTTTTTTAGGCATTAAGTAGAAAATTTTATTTGAGTATTTTAGGTCGTATTATTTTAGGATGTGTAGAATTTCATATTTTAGGTCAATTTCATCCCAAAACGTGGGTATTGAATCAACTTTTTCATCGAATGGGAAATATGTAGGTATGCTTCTATGCTTTTATTTTATTCCATATCTGATAAGTATTTTGAATGTGAATTAAAAGTTTCATTTATAAAATAATGTTTAAATCGAATATTCCAATTAATTAATAATACCCAGTTTTCATAGTCGTATAAAAGTATCAAAACTCACCTGCGGCTGTAAACATAGATAAATGTGGCGACCTCGCAACTACCAGGGTCGCATTCGTAGCCCTTATGTAGGGGGGTTGCATTGGCTGTATGGCTTCACAGCGTAAGGCCATGAAGCCTCTAGAGGTGGCCACTCGAAGTCGGATGGCTCGCCAACTCGATCGGAGGTTGAAGTCGTTGGCGTTTGAGACTGGCGTGTTATTATTCCTCGTACCAAAGTCCGTCTGTTAGGAAAATGTAAAAAATATGTTTTATTTATGAAATATAATTTTCCTGAATTTTACCGCGGTGGCTAGTAACTGTCTACCACGCAACGTGTAGCAGGTCCCGCAAGAAGCAACTCTTTGTGTGATCCACAAATTTTTGGTCTGGATCTGGGTGTCAAGTGTATGTGAACTTGTATGTTCGTAAACGCACCCATGACGTGTGGGACTATATTAAAAAGAAACTGCTGTAGACATTTACAAAACTTATTATTACATTTTATCGGAAGACAATCACAGAATCAGTCAAGAATCTTGATTTCAAGCACAACCAAGTTCGTATCATCATAATCAAGACTTTGGTTCTTAAGCCAAATAGAAACTAAAAATCATTAGGCAATGAATAACAACAAAACCATGGAGACACAAGAAACGTCATCTGATGCACTTACTCTTTTTCCATTATTGTTTACAATCCTTATCCTTACTATAATATTATAAATCGGAAAGTGAGTTTGTTTGTTTGATTGTTTGTTTGTTCCGCTTTCACGTCGTAACTACTAAACCGATTGCTTTGAAATTTTGCAGACGTAAAGTTAGAAGTCCGGATTAAATAATAGGGTACTTTTTATCCCGGAAAGATTTGATATTCCCGTGGGAAAAAAGTATGCTAGTAGCTGTGTGTATTGATATATGTCACATAGGCTACTTTTGTCCTTTTGTGACGAGAGCGAAGCTGCGGGTAAAAGCTAGTGTAAGTATAAGTTTATACGTACCCTATCAGGTCTGCCGTCGATGTACCAGACGATGTTGGCCGGTGGCATCGCTGGCTTTGTAGTACAGTTGAGCAATACATCTTCACCTAGCTGTACAGTACCCGGCACTCCTGATATCACCGGATCTTCTTTCAATGTCACTGAAACAAGTGTACACGTGAGACACATTGTTTAATTCTTTAAAAACTTTCGGTATAAAATGGCATCAAATAGCACGAGAACAAGTGCTGATATGAAAAAGTAAAGGTTCAATTTGAAAACCAGTTGAAATTTTGATTTAAAAATCTCAGTAACAATGTCGAGTCTGTAGTTTTTCTGTTTGAAAATATCGCTTAGTGTTTAAATTCTTATTAACCACTATGAAACCAGGCATTAAAGTTTTACATAGAATGATTAAAACAATTTATTTATTTTGAATTCATAACAAATATTGACACTAACGAATAAATAAATTACATATCTATGACTTACCAGCCACTGTTAATTCCTTGGTCTGCTTGACTACAGCAAACCGTGGACCCTCGGTGGACACTTCACAAGTGAACGAGAGCTTAGTATTGTAATTTCTAGGGAGTATCACGCTGATGGCACAGCTGTTCAGGTTGCAGGAGCCTCTGGACACGCCCCCTGCCGTCGAGTTAAACGTCCTTGTCGGAGGCTGTGAGACGAGAATATGATTGTTAAAATAATATTTGCTGAAGGTAAAATGTTTTTGAGATATCTAAAGTTAAATTAACTAACTGAACTCGATAATTATGTAATAGTCTATGAATTTGGTTCACACAGGCCACGGTAACTGCTTACCATCAGGTGTGTTTTTTGCCATCGCCGTTATGGTATAAAAAAAAATATTATCCGGATGTTTGTAAGCCAGCAGGAAATGTTGAAAAATTATTACAACAACCTTTGTTAGAAGATTAGCTCGTCGAAACAGTGTACACAGGCTAACATCCACAAAAATACACACAAAAGATAATAATGGGAATCAAAATACATTTACGAAATCTCAAACCACACAATCGTTGTATTTACAATCCTGAAAAAATACACAATAAACCTGATATTCCCGTTTAATTCACTGCTATTTACTTTCAAAACCAACAACAGCCCATTTCTATATAATCCAGCTAAAATGTACGGGTTCCGTACAAAAATATAGCATACATTTTGTGAACGTATTTTAGACACCAGGGCATCATAATATTTGAAGAGATTCACTAACAATCGCTTGACATCTAATGAGTGACGAGAGACTATGGAACATTACGGATTATTGTAAAAAGTAGGTACAACTCCATTGTCTGTAATCAAATAACACCGTTTACTATACGTAACATTTGACAACAAATATGGACCTCGAATTTTTTTTTCCTATAGCATGATATATGAGCTTTGTTTGATTTTAGTTCTCAACTGAAAAACTGATCGATGCTCAAGTATAGTATAGTATAGTTACTTAGTCACAAAATCAACTTATTAAATGGTAGGTAAATGTCTTATAGATGTTTCTATCTAGAGCACATTAGATTACATTACAAAAAAGTTCATAGGAATTTTCCGAGAACATTTCCACTACTTTAAATTTCGGCTAATTTATTCAAGCAAGGTATTAAAAACGTTACAATTAACAATATTGTTATCTAAATATTGTAATATTTTGAAGTAGTTTAGTTTCAATTAAAGTTATGTTATGTTATAAGTCACGTCAAGCTGTTGCTGTGGCTTTAGACTAGGTAATCAAAAGCAAAGCAAAAAGTAAAAACCAAGAAACGAAAAAGAATGTCCCATATTATCACATCAAATGAAATACAGTATTTATTCCTATTTTCGATGACTATGACAAAATAATAAAAAAGTCAGTAATTACAATACATGCTTATAGTCGTATCAACATAATTATAATACTAGGACAGCAAACTTTACTAGGAAGTCGATCTGTTTACTATTTTTTTATTTATTTATATATGCTTTATTGTACACATTTATGTAGTTTAAAACAAACAATTAAAAAAAAAAAAAAATCTTTAAACCCAATTCAAGTAAATATGCGTACAATGGGCGGTCTTACTATCCGATTAACAAGTTCTTTTTGAGTGAAGTGATAGTGTATTACTAATTAATGTTAATACAACATTCCTTTACAATAAAACCCACTCTCTTAAATATTTAATATCACTTACTAAGTTCACAGCAATCATCATAATAATTTGAATAAATGCAACGAACGAAATAGAGAAGCAAGACACCCACCTGTTGTCCTGGTGTGAACCTGAATATTTCGTTGCTGCCTCTGTACCACTTGACGGAGTGTAGTGCGGGATCGCCCTGGTCGTTCATATAGTGGCAGACGAGGTTCGCTTCTTGGTGAGGATCACCGTACATCGGTACCTCTAGAAACGTGATGTTGTGAGCTGTGGCTATCACTATGGACAATGGAGAAATTGGTTAGTAGAATAAAAAACATAACATAACATCACGCCTTTTATCCTCGAAGGGCTAGGCAGAGGTGTACATTACGGCACTTAATGCCACTGTACAATGTAACACCCATTTTTCACTATTTATGTCATGAGTCCCATGTAATAAGGCACAATTGTGCCTGGTATATGGCAATAGGGTCACATGGAATCTGGAATTCGTCGTTGTCGTCAGAATAAATCGTATGCCCGTGGTAGATACTAAAATAAATAATTGCTAATATTTTGCTTCAAACTTTGTCTAGTAAATATTGTAAATACTGCAGGTACAAGCATTTACATTATTTACTTAAAACGTTATGTAAATAGTTGCTAGTGCTAGTATTGCTTAGACCACAATATATAGTACAAGGGTTACTCCCTTATATTGTAGACAGTATATATTTCAAAAAGGTCAGACTAACAGCTGTTCAGTCTTCGGAAAGATAAATAAGTTCAGGTATTTTTTCAGCCCAATTCTGAGTCGTGGCCTCGTGTTCTAAATAGTAATTTACCTATACTTTCAATCAAATAGTTTAATTGTAAGCCTGGTAGACTAATACACGATTTTATTGTTTTTTTTCTGTAAAAGTGTAAACTGTGCTTTTTTAATTTAAATGGAACATAATTATTGCAACTTGACAACATAATATGTAATTGGGACCTGAGACGCACCGGACTTTAGTGTTCCGGTGTTTTCATGGTTATATCTAATGTAGATCCTGGCTTACAGGAGTTGCAGCGGTTTTGGAAAGTTGTGTCGGGCTTGTACCATAAAAAATATAGGTAATTGGTAGATGACTATTTGACAGATATACAATAATCATTCAAAAAACAGTTAGATATTCACAGTTGACAAAATCGTTTGATTCTTTGTCTTACTTGACACAAATGAGATAATCCCATAACACATAGAAAAATGCATTAGACATTCTCCATGGACGTACAATGTATTAAGTGACAAGTGTATCAAATAACTAAATACAATACAATGACTCGACTCCTAAATAATACAATTTCAATTATACCTTTATCTTGTATTCCATTAGATATTAATTTTATTTTATGTTCATTATATTTTTTCATTATTTTTTTTATTCTACGAATGACATGTCAGGTGTGCACCCTCCAAAATTTATGTTATTGTGCCCGACAGGGTTCACATTGTGTCCTAATTATGCTTACCACCTAAGTAATACATGTGAAAAGTAATAAAGTATTGAGTATTGAGTATTGAGAACTATCGACGCGCTTGTCTAATCCTTGCTTTTAGCCAAACGCCACTTAAGCGCTTGTCTATAGAGAGAGTACAAAACTAAATGTAACCACTCGACACTGGCAGTATAAACTTCGTTTTGGAGACACGGTTGCCAAAAAGGAAAAAAAAACTAAATGGGGATGACACTGACAAATGTCAAAATTTACGTCAATCCCGTGTAATTTGGTTTTCTATACATGTAGACAAGCGCTAAATGGCATTTGGCTAAAGCTGCTGACACTGAACTGAGCACCAAAAGTATAGTAAGTATAGGCGAACTAATCACAAACAGAAGCAAGTAGGTCCCTGCCAAGGAAAGTGATACTGAAAAGCACTTCCCGTTTTTGAAGAGATGTGACTTCCACCAAGAACTATTTGTTAATTTAACGCTTTAAACAAAATTATATTTGTCTTCATATGACAACAATACTTCCTATAGAAAAGGTAAAAAAAATACTGAACGTCTTTCTATTCGCTGACTATCAGTTCTCATTAAACAAAACTTTAAATTGTAATTGTATCTTTTACAAGTGTTTACAGTAACAAAGAAAATACCACACTACGAGCAAACCCATTGCGAAGATTTCACAATACCGATAACATTGTGCAATATACAAGTTTGCACGAAGTTTGTGGAGTTTTTGTTAAGCGACGGACGCTGATTAAGAAGTTCCGAACTAATTTTGCACAATGTGCAAAATGTAACAGATTTTAGTTAGTATCTGTTTGTGTTGCGTATCAGTGTATTGTGAAATTATTCGAAACTTTGTGTTTGTTGTTCTAGAAATGTCTTTATTACAATTACGTTGTTTAAGTTCAATATTGTACTATTCTGTTTAATGTCATGTTGCCTTAACTATAATTACTCCGACTACAAACTACAACGGTTTAACTAGCCTACTTGTTACGATTTCATAATGAATTGTAAATACGTCATGATATTTGAATGAAATGTAGCAACAGATTGTCTCGCCGTATTTGACCTACCAGGCTGACATAAACGATACAAAGTCATAACTTCGACACCTATACATGCTAATCTCCATTCAGCACAATCGCGTCCATATCGCACATGATGTAGCAACTATCGCTAAGCCTGTACTTAGCAGATTGCCAGCTCAACGCTGAAAGCGCTAGATTGTAGAATTAGCATAATACCCCAATTTTGCTGTAGTATGCGATAGCTGGCTAATTAGTACCGTGCACCGAATAGGAAAGCGATTTAATAGCTTAGTTCCGATGTTCTGCTGAGAATTTTAATCAATTATGGGGCTCATTGTGTTGGGAATGTTGTTTGGCAACGGACTGAATTGTAACCGTAAGTGATTCGATGTATCTATCTATTTGTAGCCGTTGTAGCTTCCACTACAAACAGAATATTTTGCAGTTTCTAATTAAATATTAAATAATAATTTTGCTTAATAGTAAAAGTTATGACAGAAATCTTTAATATGTTTGACTTAGTTTTTAAAGCAAGTGTTTGTTTGTCTTCAATTATTTATCTTAGATTTTGAGACGATATCCCTCAGGCGTAGCTGCGTAGGTAGATAGAGAATAAACAACGAGCTGTTTTCGTAACTCTTGGTATTGGACTTGCAGAGTTTTGGAAAAACATTGAGTTAAAGTCATGTATATCTAGGAAATTAACTAAAAGACAGATTTTCATTTATTTGTACAGAGAATAATATCATAAATAGAAATGAGCTTGTTAATAAATTATAACGAGCACGAGGCATAGGATATTAAGGTACCGGTACATTTTTTTCATGACTTGACTAGAGTCTTAACAATTTATTATAATCTTTCATATGTAACCATATTATAGACTTCTGGACTTCAATTAACTATATATCTTTATATTTCGGATATAAAAACATCAATGTGTGTGTACATCTCGTTATCATTTACCATAACAGCATATAGGTATATTTATGTTAAGATCAATCAATTTTTTTACTTAGTAAGTGTGCCATTAGTGCAATAAAATAAATAAATAAATAAATAAAATTTATTAAAAACAACATAGAACACATTTAGAATTACAGTTCGCTCAGATTTTATAGTAATAAAAAGTCTTAATAATAACACTCGTAATAGTTTACTTAATCTAGTCTTATACAATATACATACATGCGAGGAAATAACGTTCTAAGTATACAATATATAGGGATTACCCGAACTAGGTTTATTTAAACCTGTGTTTCAGGCTATCAATGCCAAAAAAATGATTTGATGGATATAATTATAAATAAAAATCGTATTGCACAATTATTTAAAGACCAAGCAAGGACAACCTGTCCTAAATTATGAAACAAACAACACTATACTAGTTAATATGTAGATTTATCACTAAAAATAAGCAGTTTATTTTAACACTTCTAGTAATTTTTCCGTTTCTGAGTAATTGAGGGACTGTAAATATTCTGTAAGTATTAGATTACACTTATATAAACTTACACTATAAACTTTTAACAACCTGTTGAGTTTGTTATATAAATATGGTCCTAAAAACAAATAAAATCTGTTAGTAAAAGCATGTTTCGTCTGAGGGTTAGTGCAAACTAAATCCTTTCTTCTCTTGTCGGAAGATATCGGGCTAAAACCAATTTCAGTATGCTGCAGCAGTACTACGTTAAGGATGAATAACTGGCGTACTGTCAGTACTTTGCATTCCCTGTATAGCTGTTGAGTAGGAAACTTGAAAGGACGAAAGGTGGCGACCTTCAGAATTGCTCTTTGGGCACGTTCTAGGGGCAGGAGAATAGTTTTTAGAGCACCACCCCATGAGTTAATACAGTAGGCAAGAATGGATTGACATAATGCCATATATACCTGGCGGATTAAGGCAAAGTCCGCAATGTTGCGCAAGTATTTGAAGACATATATTAATTTTCGTACTCTAGTGCATAATGTATCAATATGTTTTCGGAAATTGAGATTAGCATCAATAGTGACACCTAGATATTTTATATAGTCAGTTTTTACCAATGTAGGGCAAGCGCATGCTGTGTCAGCAGTCGTGCTCGTATGACAACTATGTGCATAAATGTTAAGGTTAGTAGTCGATATGTGAGTATTTCTCATTGAAAATAACATGTAGTTTGTTTTATCTGAATTCAATGTTAGGAGATTATTATGAAGCCAATTAGACACTATATTAAAACCATTTTGGGCAAATTCATAGACCTCATCATTTGATTTACCTGTGAACACCAGAGCTGTGTCATCAGCATATGACATAATAACACCATTTTGGAGGGTCAAGCTGCATAGGTCATTGATATATATTAGGAATAAGGTAGGACCTAATATACTACCCTGAGGAATTCCGTAACTACTGTTTTTTAGTTCAGAACTTCTATATTGACCAATTTTTACGCACTGCTGACGATTTTTAAGATAGTCCGTGAATAATTTCAGCTGTACTCCTCTTATACCAATTTTTTCAAGTTTATGGAATAACAAGGAGGAAGAAATGGTGTCAAATGCCTTCGCAAGGTCTAAGAAGATCCCAATTGTGTACATACCTTTATCCAAACTTGTGCATATATAATTAGTGAGTTGATGAACCGCTTGGTTAGTTGATCTTTTAGATCTGAATCCAAATTGACGATTGGAGAGTAAATTGTTGTTCTCAAGATATTTAATTAGTCTAACGTTAATAATTCTCTCCAAAATCTTAGAAAGGCCTGATAGTACTGCAATAGGTCTATAATTGGTAATATTAGTTTTGTCTCCGGCTTTAAAAACGGGAGTTACTAAGGCCTTTTTAAGAAGATTGGGAAATATACCGTTCGTTAAGCATAAGTTAAATATATATGTTAGTGGAGGTGCAATTACGTGCTTAAATCTTTTAAGTACATTATTAGGGATGTCATCCCACCCAACAGCACAAGAGTCCTTTAATCCATCTATAATACTAACTATTTCTTTAACGTCAGTGTCGAGTAACACAAACGAACCTAAGGTAGTAAGTGAGTTTATAGTTTTAGATATCAATGTTACAGTCAATAGTCGTTTATGATCAGTAAGTAAATAGCATTTATTAACTACTAGCTGGCCCGGCAAACTGCATTTCGCCTAAAAAATATTTTCTCACCTTTTAAACCTTCCCTGGACTTCCATGGACATTTCAAGACCAAAATTAGTCAAATCGGTTCAGTCGTTTTCTAGTTTTAGCGGGACTAACGAACGGAAATTCATTTTTATTTATATAGATAGATGGCATTAGGAACTTATGCTGCCCAGTGATTTTGCGGAAATTATGTTAACGTAATTGATGCGGGGAAAAAGCTCTAAAATCAAGCGACGAAAAACTTGTATTTCCAACCACGGATTAGAGACCTCCATGCAATCCGCAGCAATTTATTTAGTTTCAACAAACTGAGTTTCAAAACTTTTTAAACCAACTAGTGACAATTTTCCAGCAAAAAATTGTCCAACCCGAAATATTTTTTGTCGCTAGTTTTTGAATATGTTTTGAACTTTGAAACAATATATATATATATCGACGATATATGTCGAATATATAATATTAAATCAGCCAGTTAATGAAATCTATAACAGAACTGGTAATTGAATCATTAATTTATTTTTCATTTTATTGTACTTATAATTTGAGTACAATGCGGTCTTATGACATGCAGCGATTGCTTGCAGAAAACCTTTGGATGGAATTTTCGAAAATGAATTTGGGAATGGGTAGTCAGTACACAACAATGTAAAAGAAAAAGATAAAACCAAAATAGAGAAGAATTATTTACCTTGATTATAACGTAATTCAATAAAGGAATTGGAAATTATTTTACGTACTTCCTATGAAATTGCTTCTAAACATGAGTATACTGGGAGACAATACGCATGAAAGGTCTCTTTCTTTCTCTCTCTCTCTCTCTCTCTCTCTCTCTCTCTCTCTCTCTCTCTCTCTCTCTCTCATAATACATCTAAATTCGGTTACTTAGTTGTCTGAGAGCAAAATATGAAAGGTATTCAATTTCTCTCGACTGCGAAAATATGATTCATAAAAATTCATCCCGCTCACAACTACATTAAGTTGTTGCTAAGAAAACTTAGCACCGGGCAATTCTCCATCGCAAATACAAAGTAGTTGTGAAGAAAAACATAATTAAAACAAAACGCTTCGAGTTACCAACAACTATTACCAGGAGAGCATAGCACACAAACAATGAATATAAAATTAATTTATGAGATACTAGCTTCTGCCAGCGGCTTCGCCCGCGATCCCAGGGGGAAAATGCCAATGTATTACATCACACCATATGTACGAGCCATAATGCTCATACAGCAATTTTATATTGAATGCAAACGTATATAATGCATCGAACTAATAACTTTAATTAATCGTACAAAAGTCGTAACAAGGTCGCTATCACGTGCTAAAGTGTAGCAATCGGAACTAACATAGAATACGTAATAATACGTAAAGTGCGATTCAGATAACTAAACGTAGCCTTTTGGTAGTCGGAAAATAAACAAGTAAACCTAAAGGAACTTC